TGTATGCCTGTGTCACAAGGAAGTCATGGTTGCTGGATGAGATCATAGGCATTCAGATACTTAGAAAAGTTAGAGGTGTGAGAACTTTCTGGTGGTTCAGGACTTTCTTGCTGAGTTTGCAGCCCCGTTCAGTTAGTGTAATTTTTACATTGGTGCCATTCCATAAACATGACGAAGTCTTTTTTTGTTTTTTTATTATTTATTTTATTATTATTTTATTATTTTTTTTAATTTTTGTTGAGGAATAACGTATATGTAGTAATGTAAATAAATATGAATGTCCACATGTACAACTCAATGGGTTTTTAATATGTATAGCTCATGGATCATGCAACCAACAACCAGATCAAGATAAGGAACAATCCAAGCACACCGGGAGGCTCCTTCGTGCCCCTTTGCAGTCAGTCACCATCCCTCAAAAGCAACCCTTACCCTTCAGTCACCAAAAATGAGTCTTTCCTTGGACAATATTTTTTACCCTTACTATCTCTAGAATCAACTTAATATGGAAAATACTCTTTAATAACCTCTATTCTCTGAATCTGATCTTATCTGATTAAAATTAGGAATTGTATACTTCAGTGGTCCTGGGATCTCCCTGGAACCAACCCAAAACCTCCGTCTGACTTCTGGTCATAGACAGTGCTGACAAGTCCTCATGGCATGCCCTGCTCTGTGCTCTTTACCTGGAGGGAGACAAAAGCCTAGAAGATATGGTTCTACCCTCAGAGAACTTCTTATCTAGCTAGAGAAACCACCACTACCTGAAAGCAAGTGAGACCATGAAAAGCCTCTCCTAAGGGACAAGCTCATGTTTTGTATTTCTCAGCTCTCCAGAGACCCTGTTTGGTACTGACCTCTCCCAAGATGGCTAGATTAACCACACTCCATACCAATGATTCCTTTGCTCTGTGGTCACTTGGATGTGGAAGCCTTGCTGTCTTGCCACCTGCTATTGTGTCATGTATGTCTGTGGGCTCTCCCATCTAGGATGTGGTCTCCTGCAGGCACATGGAGGGCAATCCTCTAGTGCTTGTTCCAAGATGCCTTTGATCAGGATGTGCGACCCCAATTTTCTCTCCAGGTCACTGTAGCCCATAAGATGGTGCCCACTCTGAGACCAATTAGCAAGCATATTGTTGTTGTTCAGTTGCTAAGTCATGTCCGACTGTTTGTGACTCCATGGACTGCAGCATACCAGGCTCCTCTGTCCTCCAGTATCTCCCAGAGTTTGCTCAAATCCATGTCCATTGAATCAGTGATACTATCTAACCGTCTCATCCTCTGCCACCCCCTTCTCCTTTTGTCTTCAGTCTTTCCCAGCATTGGGCTCTTTTCCAATGAGTCAGCTCTTCACATCAGGTGATCAAAGTATTGAAGTTTCAGCTTTAGCAACAATCCTTCCAGTGAATATTCAGAGTTGATTTTCTTTAGGATTGAATAGTTTGAGCTCCTTGCTGTCCAAGTCACTCTCAAGAGTCTTCTCCAGCACCATAATTCAAAAGCATCAATTCTTTGGCACTCAGCCTTCTTTATGATCCAGCTCTCACATCTGTACATGACTACTGGAAAAACCATGCCTTTGACTATATGGACCTTCGTTGGCAAGGTCCTTTGCTTCTTAATGCACTGTCTAGGTTTGTCACAGCTTCTTTTAATTTCATGGCTGCAGTCACCATCCTCAGTGATTTTGGAACCCAAGAAAATAAAATCTGTCACTGCTTCTATTTGCCATAAAGCAATGGGACTAGATGTCATGATCCTAGTTTCTTTTTCCTTTCTTTTTTAATGCTGGGTTGCAAGCCAGCTTTTTCACTCTCCTCTTTCACCCTCATCAAGAGGCTGTTTAGTTCCTCTTCACTTTCTGCCATTAGAGTGGTATCATCTGCATATCCAAAGTTGTTGATATTTCTCCCAGCAATCTTGATTCCAGCTTGTGACTCATCCAGCCTGGCATTTCACATGATGTACTCTGTGTATGAGTTAGATAAGCTGGGTGACAATATACAGCCTTGACATACTCCTTTCCCTATTTGGAACCAGTCAGTTTTTCCATGTCTGGTTCTAAGCATATGCTCATCACTATTTGCATTGTAAAAACATTGCTGTGCAGTATGGATAGTCAGGAAGCTTAAATTACTTTAAAAGATAGAATGGCCCTTATCACACTTTCTGGCATCCGAGGAATGATGGGTTGAACATAAACTGTTCTGTATGGTTGTAAGCACATGGTACGGCAGTCTCTTGAGCAGATTGTCTATGCTTTATGGGAACAAAAGATGTTCTTCAAAAACTGAAGAATCAATCAGCAAACTACTGATGGATTGCAAGGAAGGAGTGAGCAGTTTTATTGTGCAGCTCTGTTTGTTTTTCCTGAGGATTTTAAATGAGAAAATGGCTAAAGCCATTTTCCTTACATGTTATTGCACATCATCCATCATTTTGTCTAGTTGCTAATTAATAACGTTCACCTCTGTCTAATTAGGGGCATTTTAAAGAATGTGCCTGCAGTGCAGGAGACCTGGGTTCAATTCCTGGGTTGAGAAGAGCCCCTGGAGAAGAGAATGGCTACCCACTCAAGTATTCTTGCCTGAAGATTTCCATGAACAGAGGAGCCTGGTGGGGTTCACCAAGCCTTGAACACAACTGAGCGACTAACACTTTCACTACCTGCCTCAACAGGGTGAATTTTAGCAAGTATTAATGAATGAAATATGTAACTGAGGCATGAAAGAGTACCTTCAGTATGATTCCCTCTCTGGAGGCTTCTTGGGTACTAGCGATAGTCTACATCTGAACTTGGCTGCTGGTTATGTGAGAGTTGACTTCTTCATTATTACTTACACTGTATATTTATATTTATATACATCTACACATATCCTACATCCTCTAATTTTAAAAAAGTTTTAAAAATTGCTCTATCTTAAAAGAAAATGTCTCCTATCTTATATGTATTCTGGTTCTTTGACAACTTGTTTGAAATTTAGGATATGTCCACTGGTTATGAAAAAAAAAAACCCTTAGGATTTAATATATGGTTTAGTTATTCTTCTGGCTCAACTATTAAAATGAAGAGATGCTAGAATTTTTAAAGGAATATGCTCTTAATATAGTCAAATATATTTGATGATATGAACTAGTGATGAGCAAATTGTTGTTGTTGTTCAGTCACTAAGTCATGTCTGACTCTTTGTGACCCCATGGACTGCAGCAGCACACCAGGCTCCTCTGTCCTTCACTATCTCCCAGAGTTTGCTCAAATTCATCTCCATTGTGTCGGTGATGCCATCCAACCATCTCATCCTCTGCTGGCCTTTCTCTTTTTGCCTTCAATCTTTCCAAGCATCAGGATCTTTTCCAATGAGTTGGCTCTTTGCTTCAGGTGGCCACAGCATTACAAAGTAAAAGATGTGTCAGTTCTATTTGAAGAACAGATTAGAATCTTGTGCAGTTAGTATGTTTAATGTCTATATGGTATAATATGTCTATATGATAATGTCTATGATGTCTTTATGATGTAACATATAGAGATTAATGTTTATATGATGTAACAGATCATGGTAGGCCCTGTGGTGAGATCATCTTTTAGACACTGAAGATAAGAACATACACATGATGAAAGAGATTGATGGCTCTTTGCCACATCACAACTGATTTACATCATTTTCACCTATATATTTCATAACTGCAAAAGTGAAGACTCTCATGAACTATGTCCATTTTATGGGCATATTCCTTTGCATTTTGAAGGGAAAGAGGGCTTGCGTGTGCCTGTTGATTTTATCATGATGTCTTCTGACTCCAAAAATTCAGAGAGGAGGCGTGGGGAACATCTGCAGCACCGTGAGGATCCCAGGAATGCTCATTTCTGTTGACGAATGCCTAGTCTGTCTTGTCCTGATATCAGTCTTGCCTTTAAGTTGTATTGGACTCAATCTCTTGCTTTACTACAATATTAAGGATATCTTGTGAAAAAATAACAATTCTTAATCCCCTTTTAAACCCAAGTTTCCTTGCAGCATGGGCTACATTTCTACTGATGGGTAGCAGTGCAGAGTCCTGACTTGCACTTCTTACACATGAAGTTGACAGCTGCATTATTCCAAAACACATTCTCACTATGATGACTGCCAATATTTTATGATGACATACTAGGAATTCATTTGCAGCTGCCTACTGATATGGGAGGTATCTATATTCTTTAGTGAGTTAATCAGTGAAGTACATTTGTTGCAAGTGCATATAAGATGCTGAAAGGATAAATGCCTTATTTATTCTAGTAAAAATTAGAAACAACCCAAATGGTCATCAGTGGGGGTGATGGGGGGTGGTTAATTAAGTTATGGTATAGCCATACTATGGAATACTATGAAACCTGCCCCCCCCAAAGAGAGTAGATCTGAATTTATGGAATGTGTCAGGCTCCCCATTAAGCACTTTATGTGCAACATTTTATTTAGCCTTCACAAGAACTCCCATGAAATTCCCATTGTATAGATGAGGACCCTGAGACTTATCCAAAGTCACAGGATTAGTAAATGGTGTAACAGTGATTAAATTTGAGTTCTATGGACCCCAAATTCACTTCCTTATTCAGTTACACTCTATTAGCTCATGGATGTCAAAGCTGTGTGTACTGTTGACTCCCCTCTCATGGAGATTTAATTTGAGATGACATTAGTTTGCATACATATGAAGAGACTCATGTAATAGTAAAAGTAAACATATCTAAGTGTCAAAACTAAATGGCTTCTGAAGGAGATAAGTCTCCTGTACTTTCCATGGTTGAAATAGAATTAAAGAGCATACACCAAGATTCTGGCTATATGTTCAATCCAAGTTAAGAATTTTCATGTATTTTCAAGGCCATTACTCTGTTTAAAATGCCAAATTATGAGTAAAGTGAGAGGTCACACTTCTGCTCAAATGTATTTATTGAAAATGTAAACTGTCATTTATCTGCTTGTTTTTACAACTTTTCATTTTTTTAATATTTACAGATGGACAAAAGAGAAAGAAATCTTTGAGAAAGAAACTGGACTCACTCGGGAAGGAGAAAAACAAAGACAGAGGTAAAAGACAGAATGAACTAAAGCAAATGTGTCTTCCATAGAGCATACTGGTTGAATTTGCTGGGGTTTTTGAATTGCATTGATTTACGTGGTTCAACTCTATTATGTAAACTGGATTTCTACAGTGGAATGCCATTAAAGGCTGTTTGGGTCTACTCTTTTGTGTTCAAGTGGCCCTGTACTGAATTGATGAGTTCAGTTGGTTAGAGCAAAGTATGATTCATGCCAAGTTCATGGTTCCAATTATGAAGCTGGCCAATTAGCAATGTATAAGAAAACCTGGGTTGAGTAGCCATGGATAGCATCTCTAACGCTAACCAGCTGTCTGGCAAATCTAGATAGTTAGGCAGGGCTAGTTGAATGAGAAAGAGTTTGGATTCGCCTACCATTTCTACTGGAAAGAAATAGTCTCATCCTCATGGTTAGTGACGATGGGCTGTTGTCAGTATTGTAATGTTAGATCCCAGCATGCTCATTTTTTTTTGCCCTGTGTGTTTTGGGAATGGTTGACTCTCTTCAGACTGTCCCCTTCCGTGGATATTTAGGAAACCAATAGTTTAGCCACTCTCTCAGAGGTATTTGTGTTCCTTTTTAACTAATATTCATTGAGCCTGCATAATGGGCACCTGGGCCCCATTAGCGCAGTACATCTTTTTGTGGCTTGATTCTACGTCTTCATATGAAATGACTGCTGAGTGGTGCGGTCATATGAGTGTATTTCCATTTTATGTGTCATAGTGAATGAGTGTTGAGTAAGGGAGGCCTTATGTCTTGCCTTGGAGTTCTTTTATATAATGATCAAATTTCTGCTTGAAAAGGCAATGAAAGGCAATGAAATCAAAGGTATAAAAATAAATGCATTGTGATAAGTATTAGACAAGACCTAGATACACCACTCATCCCAGACTCTACACCCATATCTTGAATTGTGCCTAAAGGGTCATGACATCTGGTTCTTGGACTAAAAAGAGATAAAGAATCCTCAAAGAACCAAAATGGTATTGATGAACCTATTTGCAGGGAAGGAATGGAAATGCAAATATAGAGAACAGATTTATGGACACAGTGAGGGAAGGAAAGAGAGGGACGAACGGAGAAAGTAGCATAGACATATATACACTACCATGTATAAAACTGATAGCTGGTGAGAAGTTGCAGGCACTCTGTGATGGTCTAGAGAGGTGGGGTGGTGGGAGGGGAGGGAGACTCAAGTGGGAGGTGATATATATGTATGATATATGTATGATTATGGTTTATTTGCATTGTCATATGGCAGAACCCATCACAATATTGTAAAGCAACTTTCCTCCAATTAAAAGATAAATTTTAAAAATAAAATTTAAAACAGAATTCTAGAGAATAGAAAACTAGTGTTTTACTTCCCTTAGAGCAGGATATCTCTATCTTGGGACTATTGACATTTTTGACGGAACAGTTCTTTGCTGTGGGGGCTGTCCTGTACATTGTCTGAGATGTTTAATATAAGCGTCCCTGGTCTCTACCACTCGATGCCGGTACCACCACACCCAACCAGAATATCTCCAGACATTTCAAATGTTTACCTCCAGCTGGAGGAAAGGACATGAAAATATCAAGGATCCCTGCCCCTGACTGCATTGTATTGATAGAATAATTTGTGAAGCCTTTAAACATTCCAATGCCCCCACCTCAGAAAATCTGACCCCATTGGTCTCTAGAGCTACTGGGCATGAGTCGTTTTATAAAACAACGTGCACTTTCTAAGGGGAGAACTCTGGTCCATACTAACCAGTATTCTCATCAGGGCACAGTCTACCGTAGCAGAATCTAATGCTAGCATAATGAATGCAAAGGATATTTACTCTTCTTCAGCTACGCATCATTGTCTGAAAAATTGTATTCTGTTCAATTAATTCATAAATTCATGCCCTTATATTTTAAATGAATATTAGTAGCCAGGGTAGCTTTTTTAAACTAGAGTTTTTACTCATCTACTCCTGCCATGGGCCATCTTTATCTCGTTAAGTTAGAGTGATCCTCGGTGTTATAGAGTTGTTAAAGGGATCATCCAGACTGATATTAGTAATGTGTTATCTTTAAAGTTGTTTATTCTAGGATGATGATATTGGTACTGGGATGTGAACACACATAATGTAGACTTGAGGTGATTCTTCAGAAGTGCCCATTCGTGTGAAGTGAAACAGAATGAGCATTTCTTTTTTTTGCAGATGTTTTAATTCCCTCATCAGAGGGAGATGTATGTGTGCCTCTCTATATAAAAAAAAAAGCAGTAAGTAAGGGTTGGGCAGGAAGGGCCAGGGGAAGTAATCAACCAGTATGCACTGGGCTAGTTTACATTTTTCAGACCAAATCATATTTAGATATTATATAGGCTCACTGAAAATTTGGCAGTGTTGTATGAGGTTGCACAGGGTGCCGGCTGGGAAAAGGAAGGCACATTCTAGTGATTCCAAGGAAAAGATACATCACGCATCCAACTAAGAAAAGAAATATCAAGATATATGGCATAAGAGGTGGTTGTGTTTGTTTGTTTTTTTGGTAGCTTTGATAGTTGAAAAGGTGATATCCTAGGCTTAAGTGAAGCTTAATGACATGGCATTTTTTTCTGACTAGAAAGTCCTGTGTATGTCCACACATCCATCACATGGATGTCCTGGGAACCAGGGTATGATCGAGCAGCGTGCAGGGCTCCCACAGTTGTGGTCAGTTCACATTTTTTTCTTCCATTTGAATATTACCATTTGGGTTCATAACAGCTGCACATGTGAAAAATGACAATCATTTGAATTCAAGAGTAAAAGAAGGAAAACAGGAAACTCTAAATGACCTTTTGGGTTAGGTCATCTAAAAATAGAGAGGAGAAGCTTTTTAGAATCAAATTGCTCTCCCAATAGAGTGACTCATTAAATGTTTCATTTGCTGCTATATTAATTGATTCAATCAGAATGATTCATGTCCTGTGTTTTGCTGAATTGCCTTAACATAATATACAGCAGATCCTGTGACACTTTTGTGTCCCTCCTGCCACTTTAACCAGTGCCCATATGACTTGATTTCCATATGGAAACCAATTCAGGATTGATGCTGGTTCAGAAAACATATATTTTCATACAGAATACTTTCGAATCCTTCATTTCTCTTGGTTAAATTACCTGGCATCCAAAAAGTATTTTCAACTTTCAGAACTTCAGAAAATTTTTCTTCTGCCAAAAAGAATCACTTTGGGAAAAAAAGGTTTAAAAATAGCTGCTTTGTTCCAGTTAATATTGTTCCTAATCAGAGCACAAGGGGAATAGGTTTTACCTTAGCCTAAGTCTGGGAGCTAGGTCCCCACTCTATAGGATATTTTCGGATGATGCCATATGTTTATCGACATAAACTCTGGTGATAGTTCAGGTCTGGCACCTTTCTTTATGCTGAAATGATATCATGCCATGTTTTATTGTCCCTCCCTGTCTATATGTGTTACTACATGTGAGCTGTGAAGTAGCCCTATAGAAGAATAGTTGATACAACTTCATTCTGTGTCATATTAAATAACAGTTGAAACATCAAGTATTTGTTACTACTCTTTAAATTAAGGAGGGATGGCTTAATGGTATCTTTGAAAGGACTGTCACACCGCAGTGTAAAACATGATCTTGGGTTGGGGCTGTGAGACAACAGTGGAGGGAGGAAGCCTGAATCCAGATGCCAGATCACTTTTTTGTGCGCCTATTTTTTTTAACTTTTAAATTTGTTTTAATTGGAGGATAATTACTGTACAGTGTTGTGATGGTTTTCGCCATTCATCAACATGAATCGACCATTGGCATACATGTGTCCCCTCCATCCTGAGCCTCAGCGCCCACCCGCCTCCCTACCCATCCCTCCAGATTGTCCCAGAGCCTGCTTCGGGTCCCCTGCATCATATGTCAAACTCCCACTGGCTGTCTATTTTACATATGGTAATATGTATGTTTCAGTGCTATTCTCTCAAATCATCCTGCTCGCTCCTTCTCCCGAGTCCAAACGTCTCTTCTTTACATCTGTGTCTCCTTTGCTGCCCTGCACTTAGTTCTGGTGAAGGTAAGGTCCAGGATGGGACCGAGGGAGCTGGGGAAAAAAGGTGGCATGCAGGAAAACAGAAGGGGAGGAGGAAGTCGAGGAGATGTGAGAACAGAGAATCAGGTGGGTCATTTAGGTAGACATCCACGCCACCTGGGATGATGGTGGCCTAGGGTTCTGACTGCCAGGGTAGAAGAGAGTGATGAGCAGGGGTGCCAAGGAAGCTTGCAGCCTCAGCTTTCAGCCATGCAGTGGGAGGGAAGGATCTGGAAGTTGCTGCAGGGAGCTGAGAGACCAGCACACCACCTCCAGGGGCCCAGGACCACGGGGAGGGAAGGGAGACAGCCTCTGCAGTGAGGACGGCAGCAGATGCCGTCTCCTCAGGAAGCGCAGACAATAGATCAGAACATGATACACACTGTCCCTGGGCCCAGAACACTGACTCCTGGTTAATGTCTTTATGGTTTGCAAAACCCATTATCAATTTTATTAACAGCTATCAGCACAGAGTCCGTAGGTTCCCTTTTCCCCCCAACAGAAGATGTTTGAGTCCACAGATAAGCCTGTGCCCAGCACTTTATTTACACAAAAAGGAAGGTTTTGCTCAACCCAGTTGGGCTGAATCCTCAATTTTATAATAATCACATTTCGAGAAGCAATCATATTCAAGGAATCCTGCCGAGAACTTTCCAGCATCTAGACACTGAGACAAAAGCTCAGGGCATAGAGATATCTGTCTCTTCTCTCAAGCTTGTGAGAGTTCTCTGGAGAAAGCAATGAGAAATTAAAGAGATTAGATCAAAACACTACCACTGAAAGAATAAATAAACTCAGCCAGGGAAGAAAGCCTATTAGAGAGAAATAAAAATCTGTTACAGGTGCTACATCTCTTGAATGGAAAGAAAAGAGAGAGAGTCATTTGGGGAGAATGACTTTATGTATTCCATCTGCTTCATTTGTATTCCATTATTCCAATTTACAAGTATTTTATTTTATTATTGTTATTTTTTTATTTTTAATTAATTTTTTTATTAGTTGGAGGCTAATTACTTTACAATATTGTAGTGGGTTTTGTCATACATTGACATGAATCAGCCATGGATTTACATGTATTCCATTATTCCAATTTACAAGTAGAGCAGCAAACTTTTAGATATGAGAAATGAGATACCAAAGGAAACCATAATTCTTCTTTTTTGCCAAGGAGATTAGAAATCTCTAGCCGAAGCTGGTTGGTTCCCTTTATATGGATAAAATGTCTCGAAAAGAAATCAATACTCCTCATGTCATATTAAATCCCTGCTATGAATATGCCTACTTGAGCAGACACAGGTCACTTGATACATTTATCAATGACCTTTCTGCTGTTATTACTCTCCAAAAGTTTTTATGTATTCCAAATATCTATCAGCCTTGCCATACACATGTTCCTAGACTTGCCCCAACCTTTTTGAAGGAAAACTGATTATTCCCATAGACAAGATAGCACTGATAGACACAATAAATCCTGAGCTGCGTCTTTTGGTTTCTAATTTTGCTAATAGTGAAAATGACCTTTTACCAGTAGTGACTATTGGATCTTACTATCCTGTCCACATTGATCCTCAAAACTAATGCCTAAATTATTTTTTGTACCATCATGTGCTGACTAGTTTGGTGATAGAGGGTTAGAAGCATCCTCTGAAAATCCAGAATGTGGAAGTTTTGATTTTTCACTTCAAAATAAATTGCATGTTTTGACAGAACAAGAGGTGCAGACTTCTCAAGTGCCATTTCTGCATTTACTGCAGATTTGAGTACTAGCCCGGTGATGTTCAAGCTGTTGCTATGGATCAAAGAGGAAAACCTTTTAGAGCCTCTTTCCACCTGATTTAATGTTCGCCTTTTCAACCTTTGAATTGTTTTCCCTTGATCATTCTGGTTTTATTCACAAGGGTTATAAAAACAAGGGTGAGGCTAGACTCCAATTTCTGCTGCTAGGGGGTGTAATTTTGAGCCTCAAAGGAATAATCCATTTAATTTAATTATTAATGCTTTTCAGCATGAATTTAAAATATTGCCAATAAAATGCCTGGCCTTAAGGACTGGTGTGCTTACAATGTATGTGTATACAAATGGATTTACTCTAGAGATCCAGAATGCAACTGTCTGCATCTCCATGATGCTCCTTCCCCAAAATTGTCCTTCCTGGAAGATGTAACAAATTATATCCTGAGCCCTTCACCAGATAGTTGGTGGTGAGAATCCACTTCTGCGTGTGGCCAGGAGAATGGCTTGAATGTAGATCATGAGAGTGACAGCACAAACCCAGCAATTGGAGGCAGCATGTGGGGACAAAAAACACAAAGCAAGAACTGAACAAACTCCTTCCCCAGCTGCTCCTCTGCCTCTTGGGTTGTCATCTCAGGCGCTGATCTTTGACTTGGAACCTCAAAGTGTAACCACTTACTTGAATTTCAGGCTTTCTGCATCTCTCTCCTAACAGCCCATGTGGTGGTGGTTAAGTCAATCAGTTGTGTTGGACTCTTTTGAGACCTCGTAAACTATAGCCCACCAGGCTCCGCTGTCCATGGGATTCTCCAGGCAAGAATACTGGAGTGAGTTATGATGCCCTCCTCCAGGGGATCTTCCCGATGCAGGGGGGATAGAACTCGGGTGTCCTTCATTGACAGGCGGGTTCTTTATCACTGAGTCACCAAGGAAGCCACTATAGCAAATGATAGACTCAATTATAATTATTTATGTATCTGTTTCTCTACTCCCTCACCCCACCCCACATTCTGAAGCCTGCAAGAGCATAATCCCCACTGCATAGCTTGACACAGTACATATAGGTATTCAGTAAGTGCCTGTTGAATGAATGTATACGCACAGTCTTCTCAGGCCTTGTCAGCTTTGGGGGTTCTTGAGACATCAATCAAAGACTTAAGTTTGTAAAATGGTGTACCTGTGAGGGGGCTTCCCCGATAGCTCAGTTAGTAAAGAATCTGCCTGCAATGCAGGAGACCCCAGTTTGATTCCTGGGTCAGGAAGATCCACTGGAGAAGGAATAGGCTACCCACTCCAGTATTCTTGGGCTTCCCTTGTGGCTCAGCTAGTAAAGAATCAGCCTGATGCTGGAGACCTAGGTTCAATTCTTAGGTTGGAAAGATCCCCTGGAGAAGGGAAAGACTACCCACTCCAGTATTCTGGCCTGGAGAATTCCATGGACTGTATAGACCATGTTCATCCTATCAGAAATGTCTCCTTTCTCTGTAAAGTTATTTCCTTTAAACATTCTTGAGATACATGGAGAAAAACTGGTAGCCTAGATTTCTAAAACCCTTGTTCTTTAAACAAACTGACTTTCTTTACTGAGATAGAAACTTTGGCCTCTCTGACAAACCCAAAAGTCATCTCCATATTTTGATGGATGAATCAGTTCTTCAGAAAACAGTCATTTGAATATGTCTGCCCTTCGATCTGCAACATGACTGAGAGTCTTCCCTGGTCTGCTCTTCCTCTGAAAGTGAATGTTTGTTCTTTTGATTCCAGAGTTCATCCCGCAGGCGTTTGGAATGCCCTTATCCCAAGTTATCGCAAATGACCGGGCCTATAAACTCAAGCAGGACTCGCAGAGGGACGAGCACAAGGATGCCTCCGATTTTGTGGCTTCCCTCCTCCCATTTGGAAATAAAAGACAAAACAAAGAACTCTCAAGCAGTAACTCATCTCTCAGCTCCACCTCGGAAACACCAAATGAGTCAACGTCTCCCAATACCCCGGAGCCGGCTCCTCGGGCCAGGAGGAGGGTGAGTTGGCCAGTGTTTTCTCTGACACTGAAGTTAGGACAACGGAAGAGTTCTAAGGTTGTTCTCTGAGTCTTGGCTTATGTGAAAACTGGAAATATAGTTTGTGTCCAAGTATCTGTCAACAACCCCATTCAGGGAGAATTTGCACTGGCCCCGAGACACATGACACACCCTCACAGCCTTTCCCCGCCCCTTTCGAAGGTATTGGGTGCCTCTCCTTGGTTACCCATGGTATTCAGAACATTCTACAACGTCACCACTGATCCTGCTCTACTGTGATCTTCTGTTGTTACCAGAATTTCCTGTGAAACTGTGAGGCTTGAGGGCAGGGCCAAGTGTTTTTGTTAATCTCTTCATCTCATCTAAGAACTATGCCTGGCTACGAAAATTTGCTACTGGTCTTCATAACCAGGGCTTCCCTGGTGGCTCAGATAATAAAGAAGCTGCCTGCAATGCAGGAGACTCAGGTTTGACCCCTGGGTTGGGAAGATCCTCTGGAGAAGGGAATGGCTATCCATTCCAGTACTCTTACCTGGAGAATCCCATGGACGGAGAAGCCTGGCAGGCTGCAGTCCATGGGGTCGCCAAGGATCGGACAGGACTGAGCGACTAACACTTACTTACACTTATTTCATAAACAATGAGATTTTTTCTTATCAATAGGGCATGGTTTTTTTCCCCCAACATAACTGTAGAAACACACACACACACACACACATCCTCTTTCAAATCAATACTGTAATAACATGGTAGGTGGTGCTAGTGGTAAAGAACTCGCCTGCCAATTCAGGAGATATAAGAGACATGGGTTCGATCCCTGGGTCAGGAAGATTCCCCTGGAGGAGGGCATGACAACCCATTCCAGTATTCTTGCCTGGAGAATCCCATGGACAGAGGAACTTGACAGGCTGCCGACCATGGGGTCACGAAGAGTCAGACACAATTGAAGCAACTTAGCACACAGCACACAATAATATGGCTCCATTTATTAAGTGAGTACCATGTTCCAGGCACTGTGCTATTATTTAGCACTTCAGATTTCACATTTCAATCCAGGAAAGCTGAGTTTCCAAGCAAACTGGTTGATGATTAGCTGAATCAGGAGATAAATATCTCTGAAACTTCCTGGGTCATTGAGAGGTCTCTCCTTTTCCTCTTGCCTGAAAGCCCAAATCTTTGCCATCTCCAGCCATCAACTCCTACCCTAGTTAAAACCCCAGACACTTCCCAGTTAAAATCCACAATTGCTCAGTCAGCCTCCAACATTTAGAACCTCTCCAAGATTCAGGGGTACCTGAGCTACCCATTACTGTTTCCAGGGTTTCCCTATGTTTAAAACTGAAGAAATGACAGCATCCAAGAATATTTGAATTTGCATGATGGAAGTGTTCTTCCAGTCCCATCATAATCTCTCAGACTGTGTGTGTAAGTCTACAAGGCAATGACACCAAAATGCCATGTATGAGCTTTCTGAGACTCTAGAACCCAGGCAATGAGCCTCCCCAATGCTCTCCCCTCTGTCCAGGCCTTGCTAGGACACCAGCTGCCAACTTCTTCCTCTAGGTTTCATCAAAGAGTGGGTGGCCATACAGACATCATTGGTGCCCTGTGCCCTTACCCTTAGCTCTTACCATTCCTAGCGTGCCAGCCCTCTTTCCACCTGTCATTAACCTCATCTCTTGGCTGGAGGCTCTCTCTGATGGCCAGAGACACCCACCCATGCAGGTGACAGTCTGCAAGTAGCAAGGCATTAATGTCACCTCCCTACCCCTACCAGAAGTTGTCCTTAATCAATGACTCTGGAGACGCGTGGTAAATACTTCAGCTCCCTCACTCCTTAGCAGGAATAGCTCTGAGGTACATGACCTACATGATCATCCAGGTTCCCAGGGAAGTTGGGCTCCAGCTGCCCACAGGCTTGTCACGGGCTTGGCGAGGCTCCCTTCGCTGGCTGCCTTCACTTCCCTTTCTCATTTCCCCACTCCCCTACAGCTGTCTCCTGGGACTGTTCCCCTAATAAAGCACATTGTGCCGCTTCTGGGGAAAACCAAACTAAGACTGTTTGTGGAATCCTATTTTAATCTACTTTCTAGAGCCATAGTTGAATTGTTTTTTTTTTTTTAATTCACAAGCATTCTCTGACTTTACCTCATTCATCAAGTATGTGATTTTTTTTCTTGTTTCAAGGAATGAAGTGGTTGGGTCAAACTATTTTAATTGTATGTTTGCCATCTCTTGTCTTCCATTTGGAAAAAGTTGTCTATTGTTGAAATTGTAACTGTCAGTACCTTACCCTATGTCGTGAAGGTTTCCTTTTTCAAAAGGTGTTTGGTTTTTTCCTTTTAAAATAGAAACAGCACAATTAAACAGTATAATTTCAAGTGGGCAAAAGTATTTATTGGACAGCATTGGGGGAAGCAGTTTTTATTTTCTCCATCTGTCCTCTTTGTTCATGTCTGTGTATAATTTGCAGGGTGCAATGTCAGTGGATTCTATCACCGATCTTGATGACAATCAGTCTCGACTGCTGGAAGCATTACAGCTCTCCTTGCCTGCTGAGGCTCAAAATAAAAAAGAAAAAGCCAGAGATAAGAAACTCAGCCTGAATCCTATTTACAGGCAGGTCCCCAGGCTGGTGGACAGCTGCTGTCAACATCTTGAAAAACATGGTAAGCCGACTTGTGTGTCAGCAATCAAGTACTTGCATGTATTCAAGCATTATTCATTTAAACACCCAAATTCTATATTCATTTGATCAGGCTCTAGGTCAAAACTTCCTTTGTGAAGAAAGTTTACACAGTGTTGGCATAACCCCAGTAGGGATAAACAAGATATGAGGTGGGGATAAACTTGATGATATTCAAACTCTCTAGAGCCAAAGAGTCCTCAGAAGTGACACTGGAGACAGGAAATTGAAGGGAGGATAAGGTATGCTGGGCTGGGTTATCCTCAGGACCTCCTTTAAACAAAGCAGAGCCACTTCTATGTTCTTTATATGTTGAGGTTACTCAAGGCTTCCTTTAAAAGAAAGAATCAACTTCTTAAAAAAATAGATCAGAAAACCATTCCTTAAGTGAATAGAAAATATGTACTTTTGTACAATAATTTTCTGTATTGTTATTAGCATTTTTGGGGAAAGATGTCCACTTAAAATTTCTTCATAGTGCCCCTTTTGGCAACTCAGTTCAGTTCAGTCACTCAGTCGTGTCCAACTCTTTGTGATCCCATGAACCACAGCACACCAGGCCTCCCTGTTCAACACCAACTCCCGGAGTCTACCCAAACTCATGTCCTTTGAGTCGGTGATGCCATCCAACCATCTCATCCTCTGTCGTCCCCTTCTCCTCCTGCCCTTCATCTTTCCCAGCATCAGGGTCTTTTCAAAGGAGTCAGCTCTTCACATCAGGTGGCCAAAGTATTGGAGTTTCAGCTTCAACATTAGACCTGCCAATGAACACCCAGAACTGATCTTTAGGATGGACTGGTTGGATCTCCTTGCAGTCCAAGGGACTCTCAAGAGTCTTCTCCAACACCACAGTTCAAAAGCATCAATTCTTCGGCACTCAGCTTTCTTTGTAGTCCAACTCTCACATCCATACATGACTACTGGAAAAACCATAGCCTTGACTAGACAGACCTTTGTTGGCAAAGTAATGTCTCTGCTTTTTCATATGCTGTCTAGGTTGGTCATAACTTTCCTTCCAAGGAGTAAGTCTCTTTTAATTTCATGGCTGCAATCACCATCTGCAGTGATTTTGGAGCACAAAAAAATAAATAAATACATAAAATCTCTCACTGTTTCCATTGTTTCCCCATCTATTTGCCATGAAGTGATGGGACTGATGCCATGATCTTAGTTTTCATGTTGAGCTTTAAACAAACTTTTTCACTCTTCTCTTTCACTTTCATCAAGAGGCTCTTTAGTTCTTCTACACTTTCTGCCATAAGGGTGGTGTCATCTGCGTATCTGAGGTTATTGATATTTCTCCCGGCAATCTTGATTCCAGCTTGTGCTTCCTCCAGCCCAGAGTTTCTCATGATGTACTCTGCATATAAATTAAATAAGCTGGGTGACAATATACAGCCTTAACGTACTCCTTTTCCTATTTGGAACCAGTCTGTTGTTCCATTTCCACTTCTAACTGTTGCTTCTTGACCTGCATACAGGTTTCTCAAGAGGCAGGTCAGGTGGTCTTGGCAACTCAGTTCCACTTAATATGCTGACTTTAAAGCTATGTATGGTTCTTTAGAATCTTTGTTGAACTTTAGAGTTTTGGTTCATCAAGCTGCCATGTCTACAACCTGAATTTGTTTGCTGTAATGTTAGCATGCATTTTATGGAATGAGAGGAGTTTATTAATTGCTTCTTTTTTTCCAGTTTTATTGAGAAATAATTCACGTACATCACTGTAATTACCTTTATACTATAAAAATGATGTACTCATCATAATAAAAAAAACAGAAACAGAAAAACAAATCCTGAAGATATACACACATAACTACATTAACATTCTCATTTATTTCTTTCTAATAAAAGAGGGACTTTACAAAAATTAATCAACTCGTTATATATGGAAATCACTAGATAACATATGAGTGACTTAATATAATTAATATGTATTGAAACTTTGCTTATACAAAATTTTAATATGTAGATGTATGTGTGTATGTTCATGTGTTTGTTTATCTGCCTCTTCTCCTTAGAAGATAAACTGAACATCAAGAAAAATATCTTAGACATTTGGAATTCCCAAAACTTAGTATCATGATAACAATGTAAATGTTCAATCAGTATTACTTGAATAAAATTATTTTTCAAAATAGCTTAGCAAGTAAAGAGGATAGTACCATGAATATATAAATTCAGCCTATACTTTACTATGAGGTAGAAAAAATGACTAATACTTTTATAATTATAATTTTTCCTTGTAAAGAATGTAGAGAGTGAACTGTAGGCACTTAAAGAATTCTAAATGAGAAAATTCTACTCCAATCATGCAAAAATGCAGTGACAGGTTGAGTAACTGCTTTTGTGAAAGAAAACTTGGCATGTCTTTATATTTTCTGTTGGAAAATAAATTTTCATGAATTTTAATTTGTGAAATAGCATTTCCTTTAAGATTACTGAAAAACAGGGCAGTTCATGTTTTCTTGGGGCAGAGGTGGTGTGCGAAGTAGTTACGGTGCACTTTAGGGCCTAAAGGAAAGAGGATAACCTGCATGATCTTTCAAGGCCCTGATTCTGTTCTGAGTTTCCATGATGCTTAGACCACATGGCTCTGGAAAAAATAAGAGACAGGCTCAAATTCAAACAGATATTAATCTTAATCACAAAAGAGAGCAAACTTCAAAAGCAATTTTTGTAAGACTTTATTTGCCAGTTTTTGAAATGGATGGCAGAGAGTTTGAGTCACTTTGGCCTTATAGATATTTGTCAAAGATCTTTTCATTCTCTCTCAAATCAGTCTTGGACTTACACACACGATAATAAAACAAAACAAAAAAAAAAGGGAGAGAGAGGGGAAAAAAACGAACAGTCTTGGACAGTAGTCTTGACTCCGTCTATATTCGTGTACACTACCCTTCCCCACTTTTACTTCATCAAATGCTTTCTTTACTATTAGGCCAAAATCCCTTAACCATCCTTGCTTTCTCTGAACCACACATTTCAAACAAAAACAAACAAACAAAGAAACCAGACAATATAACAAAGAGTCAGACTCTCTTCTGTCTCTCAGATTTAGGCTGAGTTGAGGGTGGAGCCCCCGATTTATTATGCCTGCCCTCGTTACTTGAATTCCCTGTCTGAGATTCAGGTGCCTGGGGTCTAGTTTCCATTCCAGCTTCTGATGAAAAAGAGAGAAAAGTGATAGCATCAGTCTCTGGGACAGGGTACAGCAACATCCCATTTCTTTGCCAGATCTATGACTTTTTTGATGGACACCTGTTTTTTCTCAGTGACTGTCTCAAGTCAAGGTTACTGAATGCCTGGACTGCATCTTCTTGAGGAAAAGGACTCTAAAGTTTATGTCAGAGAATGGCATTGGCTATCTGAAGGCTGTCATCTGCTCTGCCTAAAAATTAATTAATTAAAAACTTAGATTATAATCAATCGATACATAGAAATTACAGTAATCAATCACTAGCTATTAATAGTTATTTTCAAAATCAAAGTCACCTTTACTGAGTGGAAAAGTACTATAATTAAGGAAATAATGACATAGAAATAGACATTTCTGCCCAGACTGGAGGAATTCAAGCAAAGGAATAGTCTCATGTGGGAAGAAAGTGCCCTTATGTGATATCTCACTAATGTAGAAATTTCAGCTATTTGGAAACCATTGAAGCAACAAGAAAATAATGCAGTCAAAATTAAAATTGTGAAATCATACTATTATAATAAGGGCTTACCAGGTGTCTCCATGGTAAAGAAGCTGCCTGCCAATGCAGGAGACATGGGTTCGATCCTTGGGTCAGGAAGATGCCCTGGAGAAGGAAATGACAACCCACTCCAGTATTCTTGCCTGGAGAATCCCTTGGATGGAGGAGCTGTGGATCCATGGATGGATGGAGTCCACCCCATGGTGGACTGCAGTCCATGGGGTCACAAAGAGTCGGACACGACTGAGCAACTGACCACAGCACAGCACTGTTATAGTCAAGTTTTCTGTTTGCCTGGAAATTCTCATTTAGACCAGTCAGGGCCTATAGCTCTCTGTAGGTGCCATATACAAGTCTATATATTTTATGTGCATTGATTAATTGAATTATTGAACAACTTTTGAGGTGGATACTTATTATGCTCAGCTTGTAGATGAAGAAATATAATTCTGTGTTTGATTCTAATATCTTTATTCTGTTGTTTTCAAGTCCCCACAGAGGTAGAAGCAATAAATTAGGCTGGGGGTTGTCTGGACTCAATTATATGACAGACAAATTGATGGCAACAACAAGGAAGGAACAGAAGTTTTTTGAGAATTGGTGCAGAGCAGAAACTCTACCCAAGAGCAAATCAGCAATGACTAGCCTCTCAGCATGATTCTCTCAAATTATTCTGGAAATTCAGGGTAACAAATATAAGATATAAAAGTGATAAAAAATAGTCCATTTTTTGGATATTATACTTTTAGATATTTTTTGGATATTATATTTTCTAACTGAGAAGCTCTAGAAAACCAATTTTAAAAGTCTTATACCTAATACACAATGTGGCAAGACCATAAAATAAATATACAAAAAGATATCCATATCTTATATAAGAGCAATAATATTATGTACTATACCAATAAAATAATTCATTTATATTAATATCAAATGTGCAGTATAGCTAGAATACCTGAAATAAGAAGTAAGAAATTTCTGTGAAAAAAACCGCGAAGCTTTACCAAGAGACATTAAGGAATTAAGAAACAAAGTAAGATGTCTACTTTGTTTCAGGATGGAAAGAAATAATGTTATAAAGATTTTAAACTCTTTCCAATTTAATTATATACTGGACTAGTCAGAACTCTTTCAGTGGCAAGAGAAGAACCCAGATAAAAGTAGATTAAGCAAAGCATACACCCCCCCCCCCCAATCCCATTTACGTACTGGGAGTCTGAAAATTTTATCTAGATTCAGGATCAGGCAGATTCAGGATGCAAATGATGCCATGAGAGCATGGGTCTGTTTGCTGGCGCATTTACTATGTTTCACGGTCTGTTGACTCTCACACCCAGCCCTCTTCATGTGGCAGCGAAACAGCCATGGGCAGCTACAATCTGGCATTGCCCTTACAACGAGTATCCCAAATGAAGAGAAAGTGAGCCAGCAATGAAACAGTAAATGTAGGTGATGATCAGCAGTGGTGGTGATTGATGGCTTGCATAGGAAAATGAGTCCTTCAGACATTCTCTGCCCCCTTAAAAGAAGTGCGCAATAGCTCTTGTGAAGTATTCTTGCCCCCAAATTCTAAGCGGAATAAGAGAAAACTGACACTATCTCTTTAGAGGAAATAAAGGGGAGAAAGGAACATATAAATGGCACTGCAGAATGTCTTCATCCAAACAGTGAGGGAATCTACAGTGGGAAATCAGCACTATATCTTCATCAAACCAATTATGACAAGGAAAATGTATAAACAGTGAGGGGAGAAACATACACATTAAGAGACTGCAAGGTGCACCAACTGATCACAGTTTGTGATCGGTTCACAGTTTGTGAACCTTATCTGAATGTTGACTGGATATTTAATGATACTGAGGAACTATTGTTGACCTTTCTAATTTGTGATCAATTGTTTAAGAGACCTAATTTTTTGCAGCAAGGCTTCTCAACCTTGGTACTACTGACATTTAGGACTAGATAAATCTTCTTGATGCATTGGCCCCATAATCCCACTTCTAAGACATGCTCTCAAGAGAATCAGAAATGTAAATTGAGACGAATGTGCAGAGTTGTTCCTAATAGGCAAGTTATGGTATCAGAACAAGTGTATATGTGTTGGTGGAACTTATATTGTCATTCAGAGGAGAATATGAAGTGAATTTTGGCACATTAATGCAATAGAGTATTTTGCATCCATTTTAAGTAACATTTACACAGAATTTTTATTGGCTTAAAAAATTCCTGTAACATAATATTAAGTAAATGCAGCAGCATTTCCTCCCTCTATATATAATTTTTTCATGGAGAAAAGACTGGACAGAAATAAATCAAAATATTAAATCATTAGTTCTGCACCAGGTATTTTTAAGGTATATTATTGTTTACATTTTTCTGCACATTATAGATTTTCTTTCATAAGTACATACTTTAATTATGATCAGTGAGACAAGAAATATCTATCTTCAAATTGATAAAGGGCTGGAAATTCATAGAAAACTCATGTTTAATTCTTCTGAATAATGAAGAAAATGTTACATTATTTTTTTCATATGGAGGAAGTGTGGAAATAAATAATATCACAAGAACAATATTTAATCAGAAGCGTTTAATGTAAAATGATCCTGGTGCTAGCAGGGCTAACTTCTAGGTACCTACCTGGTGAATCTAGCGTGGCATAAATAAGCATTAATGCATGCTGTCAAGTCACCATTACACTGCATGTTGCAGTGTGGTATTGGCATTTTGTTTTATATCTATTTTGATTTGCTCCAGTTTGAAACCATAAAACAGGACTGAAGATTTTGTTTCCTCGTTTGCAGGCCTCCAGACAGTGGGGATATTCCGAGTTGGAAGCTCAAAAAAGAGAGTGAGACAAGTAAGTGAAAAGTGGAGATGATATTGTACATTTCACTTGACTTCTAGGTGAATTACCTTGTGCAAAGTTCGAGCTTATGCAAGTTCATTTCTGAATATCTTTTCTGCATTTACTGATTATGGTATAACTGAGTCCCAAGAAGTAAAAGGCGAACTCAGAAGCTCAGAAAGATTTAGGATCATACAATTGAAAGCACAATGTCTAGACGTGCCCATGGCATGTACAACAAAACAAAACTAATTTATAAACATTTTATTGACACTGTAAATGCAGGAGATTCAGAGAGTACCTGATCAGTAAGTGAAAATAAATAGAAAACAATTATATAGTACTCATTTCTACCAAAATGCAATATAAGTAATCCTGTTAATATCTCTTCTGTGAAAATGCTGCAGCTTTTTATAGCTTTAACTTCTCAAAAATAATTGTATTAATTTTCCATGGAACCATTGATTCCCCAGTTCATCTTCCATGTGGGGATCGTACCGTTCAGTTTCCTTCAGCACTTCCAGATTTCTTGCAAAAGAAGTTTGGAATTAGAGCTTCAGAAGCAGGTTCCTATGATTAGGCAGATATCTGTGTTCATGACAGCTTCATAAAAGACAAACCTTCCTTTGAGAAAAGAATTCATATGTTGGCTAAAAGAAAATTAAAATATTATTTTCCCTCTGTTGGTTCCAACAGAAAGAAGTAAGGAACCCAGCACTTCAAAAATGAAGCCAAATGAAAATAATTTTTAGTTGGATGAATCTGAAGAAACGATATTTGTTCATATTATTGAAACTAAGTGAAATGAATGCCTTCTTGTGTCTTTTTTTTGTCCAGACAAAAGGGGGTTTTCAAAAGAAGTATGTTTTCTGTTTGGTTGGTTGGTTGGTTTTATTTATAATAGTCACTTTAGAGACTATTAAACAACATTTCACATTTCACAATAGGACTAGCAGGAAGAAGATAGCATAGTAACATTTCTTAGGCCTCCTGTGCAGAGCTGCAGAATATTTTTAAAAATGTTACCTCACTGAATTCGCCCACCAGCTGAGAGACAAGCCCTTTTCACCCACTTCTGAGGCTTAGAGAGATAAAGACATTTAATTCAAGGCACACAGTTTAGATCAGGCTCTTTCTACAATCCTTTCTTTCAGCGTGCGCATGCATGTGTGTGTGTGTTCTCGCTCAGAAAAGAAACATGGTATGTTTGAATGGTCATGAATAGGAGTGGTGCCAGTGGAAGCCTTCTTCGTTCTGGCTGCCTGGTGCACGCTAAGGATGAGTAGTCTGGAATTGATGAGCCATTCAGGACAGTATTCTTATCAGGTGGCGAGGTGGCTAGTGACAGACATTATTCCTCAGTTATATCTTTATTCACCCAAAGGAAAACTTTTGCATGGAGATTTACTTACGGACTCTCCAAAAAAACATATATATATATATATATATATATATATAAAATAAGTAGTCAGATTTCAAGCATGAAGTATGCTCCACCTCACCATTTGATCTTGCTATATCACTTCATAACCCCCTACACTTTTTCTTCAGAACAATTGTCATAGTATTAAGAGCTAATTAGTGATTGATGGGATTACCAGTTTATCACCTGTCTGAGAGCTGGAAGAGGGGAAGGGCTTTGCCTCTTGACTCATCACCATATTTTGAGGACCTTTAAGAAGGCCCCGGTACACAGCAGGTGGGCAGTACATCCTTCTTGAATGAATGACAAAGCACATAAACATTTACAGAAGTTTACTGCCTAGAGCAGATTCATAAACTCACTAACTTATTTTAACAGCAGAGAACAATACCTAAGAGAAGTTGAGCTGCCAGAGATGAAAGTAGGGTGTAGAGTTATGACTTCCTTCTGGCTATTGTGTTTTCCTACTGTGATAAATGCTAAAGGAGTGACGATAATGATGAAGGCAGGCAATCTTCCTGGAAAATGTTAATAAAGCTACTTTGACAAATCTAAGGCAGATTTTATTTAGTTATTGTCACCCTTCAAGCCTCAGAGAAACAAATGGTTTCTCAGGGTGTTTAATTTCATTGTTTGCAGAAAAATCTCTTTGCTTCCTTGTCTAGTATTTGTGGAAAATGTCAGAATTCCAACGTGGTAAAATTGCTGACATGCAAAACTGCTATACAATGGATTAATTCCTCCCTCCCACAATTAGAGTTGACCTAAGCCCTTAGCTCTTCCTCCCCACCTCCTGGGTGTCATTATCAAGCCCTGCTGCTTGTGTCATTAACAGTAAACCCACTGATACTTGTATTTAATAATTCATTTCCTATGTGTATATATATATGAAAGTGAAAGTGTTAGTCACTCAGGTGTGTCTGACTCTTTGTGACCCCCTGGACTGTAACCTGTCAGGCTCCTCTGTCCATGGGATTCTCCAAGCAAAAATACTGCAGTGGGTTGCCATTCCCTTCTCCAGGGGATCTTCCTGACCCAGGAATCGAACCCGGGTCTCCTGCATTGCAGGCAGATTCTTTACAGTCTTAGCCACCAGGTGGCTATAGATATACACATATATATGGGCTTATATGGGCTTCCCTGGTGGCTATATATATATATATATGATATATGTGTGTGTGTACATATATACACACACACACACATATATATTGTGAAACTAACACTTTCACTTCATATATTCAGGGCTGGGTTTGCACAGACGCTATAGATCAAGGTCGCACGTTGTTTGCTTCTCCTTCCCGGGGTCTGGGTAAACCCACTCCTCGAGGCTGCATGTCACAGCACTTCTTTCGCTGGGTGCTGAATGTTGAGGTGTGCTGTTCCGAGACTGCCACTGGACTCTTGTCTTTCCAGCTACGTGAGGAGTTTGACCGTGGGGTTGATGTCTCCCTGGAGGAGGAACACAGCGTCCATGATGTGGCTGCCTTGTTGAAGGAGTTCCTGAGGGACATGCCAGACCCCCTGCTCACCAGGGAGCTGTACACAGCTTTCATCAACACCCTCTGTATGTAATCCAGCCATCTGCAGGAACGTCTTACTGGGATGCCCCACTCACTCATCAAAACCTTGTGCATATGTTTCCTAATAGCTATTTTGACCTGATTTATCTGTCTCTAATGATCGGGCTATTGGGGGAATTTTGTGAGACTTACCCTGGGGAGAATTGGCAGGAAGAAAGTTGCCATGAAACAAATGGAAGTAGCCAAGAAAAATTGGGGATGCCTTCAAATGACTCTAGGATAGTAGAAAGTGCTACAAATTGATGCTTTGGAGTAACAGAGAGGATTGAGTCCATGCCTAAAAATGAGTTTGCATTTCTGGAACCCAGAGTGAGAAAGGGAGATGGGAAATATTCCAGGTAGAGCCCAGGACCGGGACTTGCAATGTGGCTGGTTCAGGACTAGAGGCACAGATCCCCAAAGGAGAACAGGAGGGCAACTGGGAGGAGGAAGTGGCCAGAACTCTGCGAGGCTCCATGCGTTCCTTCCTGCTGCAGGTGACAGGCTCACAACAGAGAAGACCCCGACTTTGCACCGGGTCTCGCTTATTGCCAACAAAAAGTCTACCTCTTGTGTCCTGCTCAACCGACCAGGGCCTCCAATCTGTTAGAAACTCAGATTTTAGAACATTCCCACATGGTTTGTAAATGGGCTGTGATCCCTAAAGTATGTGAGGATTTCCACCAAGGGAAGGAAAAAGAAGAAAGTAAGGGAAATGACATTACCTTTCTACCCTGGATTAGAATGATTTCTGTGGGTGTCACATTTCCCCAGGTCGCGTTTATCTTTCTATCCCTCATAGAACCTTACTGTAGAATTGCTAACCCAACGGTGGGGGGCAGGAATGAAAGGTGACTTGCCTTGTTAATCCCTTTCTGAAGACAGTTAAACCGGAAGGGTGTGACCTCCGCCTTGACTTACTTAGAGCCCCTTTTCTTGCCTTGCTCAGTGCTGGAGCCAGAGGAACAGCTGGGCACCTTGCAACTCCTCATCTACCTGCTACCTCCCTGCAACTGCGACACGCTCCACCGCCTGCTGCAGTTCCTGTCCATCGTGGCCAGGCACGCTGAGGACAACGTCAGCAAGGACGGCCAAGAGGTGTGCACCCCGCCGCTGCCACGCATGCTCACCTCTTCCTTTTTCCTGTTTGGAAAGGGAGAGCTAAAAAAGAATAAGGCGGCTTCCCTGGTGGCTCAGCAGTAAAGAATCCACCCGCCAAGGCAGGAAACGTGGGTTCAATCCCTGGGTCAGGGAGATCTCCTGGAGGAGGGTGTGGCAACCCACTCCAATATTCTTGCCTGGAGAATCCCATGGACAGAGGGGCCTGGCAGGCTACAGTCCATGCAGTCACAAAGAGTTGGACACGACCGAGTGACTAAACAACAATGCATCTCAGTGCCACCTGGTATCAGCTGCTAAAGACAGGTTCTCCACAGTCCTCTGGACGCCTCTGGAATGTTCTTGTTGGACTTGGCCCCCAATCTGAGGTCTTAGGCTCTGGTGTTCTTTGGTGCTTCAAGGTATTTTCCACTTTCTCCCTTGAACAAAGGAGAGATGCTGGCCTCAATTTTAAGCAAGCAACTTATTTAATCTTAACCCTAACAAGAGACCTGCTTCCCTTTTTTGAAACCATGCAGTCATACTTCTCCCTGACCTTTTATTCCCCAGGAGATCTCAGACCGTTCACTATGCTAACATGCATTGTAAATCAATAAGAAGGGGCCAAAGACATTCCAAGCTTACTTACCTCAGGAGCTTTCTATTTTAAATCCTATTAAGCAGAACTCAGCTGTGTCATGGATTCATTTCTGTAATTGTCAGGTTCCTTTCCCTAAGGCCATGCTCATATGTAATTTTTTTCGCTTTAATCTAGAAAGGCAATTCTACCTTTCTTATCCTCGTCATCCCTATCAGTGTGAGAATGGAACTTCCCTGAGTTAGCTGTTTATCTTCATAGCAGTTATTAGTGAAACTCTGCTGGCTTCAGGTTTCATAATATGACACTGACACCTTCCTTCAGCAGACACTGCTCTTCATTGGATATACTGTAATTCGCATAATTGTTAAGTAGTTATATTACCCGACTGGGTGTCAGCCTTTATTGACTATAAGCTATAGAATCATCTGCCTAATCATTGGGTTAAGGCAGAGCCCTGTCTGGGTTCCTAGGTACATGAAACGCCTCTCTGACATTTCTTAAGTACTATGTGCAAAGAAAGTCAGGTTTTAGGTGATTGAGAAGGCATTGAGGAAAGCAAAATGTCCAGTGGAACTCACTTGTGCCTTTTTAGAATCATTTTCAGACTTTCTTTCAGTCCAAATGCTGAACAAGATTGCATTGCCTATGGCAAAGAAAAGAAAACATCCTTGCATGTGTGCATGCTAAGTCGCTTCAGTCATGTCCAACTCTCTGTGGCCCCATGGACGGTAGCCCACCAGGCTCCTCTGTCCATGGGATTCTCTAGGCAAGAATACTGGAGTGGATTGCCGTGCCCTTCTCCAGGGAATCTTCCCGATCGGGGGATTGAACCCACATCTATTACATCTCCTTCATTGGCAGGCAGGTTCTTTACCACTAGTGCCGCCTGGGAAGTCCTCCCTTCCCCGGGAATCATGGGGAGCCCACCCTGGCTGTGAACACTTGGTAGCTTTATAACTCACTGATTCTGTGTTCTTGGACAAATCTGTTAACCTCCTAAACCTGGATTTCCTTACCTAAACTTTGGAAACAAAACTTCTTCAACTGGTACTGCACAGTCATTGAGAAAACTAGTTTATTACAAGGCATAGAAAAATATGCTGGTAACAGCAAAGTTGTACGGGACGCAAGCGATGACAAGGCTTTCTAGACACACTTAACCTAAACCTTGAGTCAAAATGAAGGACCAGTAACCAAAAATTAGAGAGACAGAGGAAATATGAGGAGAGCATTGCTTCCATGAAATGTTCAGAAGTTACAGGAAGATGTAGCCCACACAGCCATCTTGGACTAGAGGCTGCATCGTGGGAAAGTACTGATGAGGTCTGAGAGGAAATTGGGCTAAGTTCCCAGAGTCCTGAATGCTTTTGTCAGCGGTAGGTGGTTGATTCTTTTAAGCCATGAATCTTTGGAAGGATTTGACTAAGGTGATATAATCTATGTTGTAGATTGGTTTGAGACAGGAAGAAAGTGAGTCAGGAAGGTTTCATAGGAATAGCAATGTGGAAAATAGCACTTCACATTATAAATGCTTCCATATGAGAGTGGCCTTGGTATCTGAATCATGTATGTTCTGAGTACTTACTCTGTGTTCCTCTAAACCAGTGAGCATCGTTCAGGAATTTCCTAATTCATATTCCCAGAATGCCATGGCATCCTAGAAGGTGGAGGGGGTAAAAACACAAGGCAAATATAGAATTAGAAATCTCAACACAGAGTCACTGCAGAACTCCAGAGATGAAGTGATGAACGTGGACCAGAAAAGTTAGGAATGGCTTTGCAGAGGAGATTGAATTGAAACTCCATATCAAAGGGTGTGCAGGGCTTAAGTAAGCAGGCCACAGAAGTATGGCCTAGGAATGGGAGTTAGCTGGAAACCCCTCCTGGTAGAAAAGAAGGGCAAGGGAGGAGGAATGAGAGAGAGATTCTTAATTCACGATGCAAGTTGGTTTGGTATGAGCAGGTAGAGAACTCAGAATGAGCACACTGGAGTGAGAGAAAAATTCAACTGTAAAATACAGTCAAGAAACAAAGCAGTTTTCAACTTTTGCTCTTACCTGTTTGTTAGTTTGTGCTAGGTGTGTTACCTGTCTGTGGGGCAGTTATTACGCATTGCAAAAGGAAGAAAAATGATGCAGAGTGTCAAGGAGCTTGGAGGCCCACACAGGCTCTGCTAGCACCTTACTACATGAAATTGTTTTTATAAAACAGAGGAAGAGGAGGGAAAATAAAGTCGGGGTAGGGGGAGACCTGAACTTCCTCTTTTATAAGATGAATGTAATATATCTTTTCTAATAGGTGCTTAAATTCCCATGCATCACTGATGGGATCTTAAAGATGTCTAAAAGAAGGGCATGAGAAAAATTATTGACCAGTAAATGAGTGCTTTAGGGGCAAAAATAGTGGTATTTTATCAAATGTTTTGCTATCTTGGGTTTGTTTTGCTTTATTCCATTTTGTTCAGTTTGCTATTTGCTTTGCTCCTTAGGGGAAAAGAGAAATTCCCAAATGTAAGAAAGATTTCATTTCCTCTAGACAGAATATTGCAGGAACATCATGGAAACGTCTAGAGCAGTGGTTTTCAGGTTTCTAAGAACTCCCCGGCATGGCATGGAATATGTGGTGTGAGTGTATACTGTGTGTGTGTGTGTGTGTGTGTGTGTGTGTGTGTGTGTGAGAAGATTCATAGCTGGTGTCCAGTCCTTCAGAGAATCTTATGAGGCAAAAAGAAGTTACAGACCACTAACACAGGGCCAGGATTACGGGCCTTTCATGAGATACAGGCCTCAAGGAAGTGGAAGCTTGGCTTTGGATCTGTAGCAGGGTCAGTACCTAACTATCCTCACCCTGGCCGGGTTTTGGAGCCAGTTTTCCCAAGTGCCCGCTGTGCTGGCTTTGCCAGCAAGAGTGAGGGGCAGAGACTGCCTGGAACCAGGCTCTGTGCATCACTTCCCTTGTCTGTAAAATAAGGATGACGGCAGCAGTGGCTTTGTCTTGTGAGTAGTGAGAAGGAATCACAACAGTCTGTGGAAAGCCCCTAGCCCAGTGACTCTACGTGCTAAACTTGAAAAAGTTTTCTATTTTACTGACGTATAGCTGATTTATAGTGTTGTGTTTATTTCTGCTGTGCAGCAAAGTAATTTGGTCATATAAGTACATTCTCTTTCATATTCTTTTCCAGGATGGTTTATTACAGGGTAGTGGCTCAAGTAGGGCTTGCCCGGTGGCTCAAATGGTGAAGAATCTGCCTACAGTACAGGAGAGCTGGATTCGATCCCTGAGTCAGGAAGATTCCCTGGAGAAGGAAGTGGCAACCCACTCCAGTATTCTTGCCTGGAAAATCCCATGGACAGAGGAGCCTGGCGGGCTACAGTCCATGAGGTTAGAAAAGAGTCGGACACAAGTTAGTGACAGAGCACACAGGAGCACTCACTGTATATATCTCCCTGTGCTCTACAGTAGGACCTGTTGTTTATCCATTCTATGTTTAAGTTTACTTCTGCTAATCCCAAACTCCCGATCCTTCTCTCCCTCACCGACATGCTGAACTTTTAATAAATGTGAGCTATTCATATATGGCTCAGAAATGATCTAGGATGCTTATTTAGAGATAAATGTTTTCCTTGAATTCTCTGATAAATAACGGAGCAAGCCCAAGTGCACATTATATTAGCCAGTCATAGAGAAAAGTGATGGGGGCAAGCGTGCGCGCGTGTGCATGAGAGATGCTGTAACATGCGGGACAAAGGTGGATGCCGTCTGTGAGCAAATCTCCTTTCCAGTTTAAAAGACAATTAAGCTATTATAAACAGGGAAGACCCAGAGGGATGGGGTGGAGAGGGAGGTGGGAGGGGGGACTGGGATGGGGAATACATGTAAATCCATGGCTAATTCATTCAATGTATGACAAAAACTACTGTAATGATGTAAAGTAATTAGCATCCAACTAATAAAAATAAATGGAAAAAAAAATAAAAGACAGTTAAGTAAAACAAAACCAAAACAAACAAAAAAAAGCGTTAACAAACCACAGCAGCGTGGTCTGCAGCTGGAATCTTGGTGCATTTTAACAGCGGGTTTGTGTTGTATTCCCAAAATAGCACCAGGAGAAGGCGAGCAAGTGGAAGCAGGGTTCTGGATTGTCCTTGTACTAAACATTCTTTTCAAAGAAAACAAAATCTTCTATTTGACTGTGTTGTTGTTGTTGTTGTTTTAATTAGAAAACCCCGATATTACTTTAAGAGGGAAAAGGGAAGCATTCCAAATGCCTCTGAGTTCTAAAGGGATGAATTTGAAAATAGAGCACATTTGGTTTTATCCTCAGCCATGAGTTTCCAGGAAGAGAAGTGAAAAATAACATGAAAACTTGTCAAGTTTTATATCGATGAAATGAAACAAAGGAAAAACGGAATTGAACCGTTGTACATAAAGGGCAATTTCTTAAAAGTTCCCAGTGTTTACCACATGAAATCATTACACTTGGCGGCAAACCTGAAAACGGCCTCGCCTTCTAAAAATAACGCACCCCTTTATCTTTACTTTAGTGATAATGATAAAGAATCCCCTTGCCAATGCAGGAGACGCAGGTTCGATCCCTGGATTGGGAAGATCCCCTGGAGCAGGGAATGGCAACCCACTCCAGTATTCTTGCCTGGAGAATCCCATGGACAGAGGAGCCTGGTGGGCTACAGTCCATGGGGTCGCAAAGAGTCGGACCTGACTGAGCTACTGAGCACCCACGCAGGCAAGTGCCACGCTGGGCTTGCAGGGCTGGGTAGCCATCCGCTTAGTCAGGGCTCCATGGGACAAGGTGGGGACTCCAGAGGCTGAATCTCAGCTGTGAGTCAGGAACTGATTCTGTGTTTGAATTTTATGCTCTGCATCCAACTGCTTTTCGAAGGCCGTGCAGACCTTCCCAGGCAAAGGAACATCCCCAAGCAGCCGCAGTTCCCACCCTCACCTGGGCATTTATAGGTTTTCAGCTGATTTCAACAGGAGAAATAACTGGCCTAGATCAGTGGTACTTAAAAAGGAGCAGGTTTGCCCCCCAGGGGACACGTAGCAATGACTTTCACCTGGCCCTCACCAGGCCTTCCTGTAGCACCCTCTGCCTCGCTGAGCTTCCTGGGGTGCCTTGGCATATTTTATCTATTTCTGTCTTTGCACACAGTGTTCTCACCACTGTGAAGGTGCCCCCTGCACCAGCTCCTCTGTTTTGCAGCCTGGCAAACTCTATTCTCCTTCAAGGTTTTGGGCAAATGTTGCCTTCTCTTTGGAGTGTCTTCCCTGGGGCCTCCAGAGTTGATAGTTTCATACTTTATCCTCGTGCGTGTGTGCTCAGTCAGTTCAGTTGTGTCTGACTCTTTCTGACCCCGTGGATGGACTGTAGCCCGCCAGGCTCCTCTGTCCATGGGATTTCTTAGGCAAGAATACTGGAGTGGGTTGCCATCCCCTCCTCCAGGGGATCTTCTTGACTACTTGTAACTGATCAATTGCTTTTCTCCTCTAGAATGTGAACCCTTTAAAATAAGGAGTGGTTTGTGATCTTTGTTGAAAAAAACTTTTGAGTAATTAGAATCCATGAAAAATGCCTATCTATGGTGGGTACTGAGTCCATGGAGTAATAAAGAGATGATGGGTTGATGGATGAAGGGATAGATAGAGGGATGGATAGATGGTCAGTTGAATGGATGAACATCAATATTTTTTTAGAGCAGACAGGATAGAAATTTTCTATAGTACCAGTTTCACAAAAACAGCATTCTAAAATTTTACTCAGTATGCTATTAAGATGACCACTGAGCTATGCTTCAAGATATGAAGCAAAAGGAAAATATGATGCCCTTCATGGATTCTGACAGAGATGATGTGGTCCTTGCAGGAAAAAAAATGAGAAAGTAAAAGGATTCTATTGATTATTTAACCACTCAGTGTTTTGAAACACAAAAATTACAACCATCCTTGTATCCTCTGCTTCTGTAGGTCACTGGGAACAAAATGACATCTCTAAACTTGGCCACCATATTTGGACCCAACCTGCTGCACAAGCAGAAGTCATCAGACAAAGAGTTCTCAGTCCAGAGTTCGGCCCGCGCTGAAGAGAGCACAGCCATCATTGCTGTGGTGCAGAAGATGATTGAAAATTATGAAGCCCTGTTCATGGTGAGTGTCCCGTGTTTGGCAGGACATCTCAGTAAGCTGCCTTTTGATTGCCTTTTGGTGGCATAATGAAACAGGCACACCACCTTTTGGCTCATAGTACCGGTCATTGACTGAATTCACTGGAAGCCAGGCAATTTCAATAGGAATAGATATGTACATACCTATGACATCACTGTAAGTTTATGATTCCAGGTTTAAACAAACATATCCAAATTAAAAATTTCACTTCATTGTCTCCTAAACAATAGTCATGTTTTGGAGTCATTTGATTAATTGTATAGCAGTGTCCTTGCCCCCAAAATTGATAAAAAGACTTCTTTTTGGAATTATATGTGGCCCCCATGAATTCATGTATTTATAACCATCCTCAGCAGTGGCCCCTCCTCCAAGGTCAATCTGGAGCTTCTGCTTCCTGCATGAAGCTCGACCTTTCTTCCCTGTGTCCTTCTCACATCACTGTGCCAAGTCACTTCTCTGTCCCTTGAACCTATTACTGTTCCTATTGATGTTTATCTTAACATTGTGTTGAAGTCATGTATGGCTATTTCCCCCAGTAGATTATAAATGCATTTAAAACACAGGCTGTGCCCTTGTTATCTCCTCTCTGTATCCTCTGTACAATTCTGGAAGGCTCTCCATCTGGCAGGCACTCAGTAAATATTTTTTTGATTTGTATTGAATTACTGGTTCCTGTTTTCCTTCAGAAAAACTGCATTGCTAGCTCCCACTTCCCTTGGATCATTCGAACAAATGCCAAATCTCTTCTGTGTCTATTCACCACTTGTAGCACATGTCAAAATTTGCAGGAATCTTCTTGATGGTTCTTCATACATTTTTTTTTTGAATTTGCAAATGCTCACTATACATCTTACCTATTCCACTAGAGCCTTTAATGGCTTCTTCAGCTGAGTGTGCTAGTTCCCTCTTTTGAATTTCCCTAATATTTTGTCTATGTTTATCAAAGGCCTTGCATTAGATTTATTTCCATCCTTGTCTTATATCAGTTATTTTCGTAAATTTGAGAGCCAGTGGTTTAGAATATTTGCTCTCTCTGTTGCACCTTTGCGATCATGACCAAGTAATTCAGTATTCAATAAGCATCAATTTCAGTTTTTGGGAAATGGGGAAAAAATTAAAATATGACCTGTTTCCCAGGGCAGTTCCCAGAATCCTTTGATATGTGAAAGCATTCTGCAAACTGTAAAATTCTATGCAAATGTTCATCAATAATTGTATGACTTGGGCAACACAAATTGGCTCAAATCTTAGCACTTCAGCACAACAGACAGAAATATCACATAAATTTTAATCAGATGTTTAGTGGACAGGCCTCCTGCTGGTGACATAGGGACCCCAGTTCCTTGCATTTTGAGACTCTTCAATCCCCTAGGATTTCATGGGCCAAACCTAGAAGGGATATCCATCCTGCCCACTCCAATCCCATTGGCCAGAACTCAGCCACAAACTGTACTTCACTGCAAGGGAAATGGAAGCCACAAACTGTACTTCACTGCAAGGGAAGTGGAGAAATGAATTCCTTCTGGATGCCCAGGAGGAAGTGAAAATGGATCTACTGCAGTGAAAAGTTCACTGAGGTAGAAATGTATCTTGCTCCTCTTTGAGTCTCGAAGGCACTGCCTATGTGTGGCATGCAGTAGACTCTCCAAAAAAAATGGAAATTTTCATGAACTCTATATAAATTTCAGGGCTTCCTTGGTAGCTCAGTGGCAAAGAATCCACTTGCCAATGCAGGAGATGCAGGTTCGATCCCTGGGTTGGGAAGATCCTCTAGAGGAGGAAATGACAACCAACTCCAGTATTCTTGCCTGAGAAATCTCATGGACAGAGGGAGCCTGGCAGGCTACAGTCCATAGGGTCACAAAAGACTTAATACAACTTAACAACTAAACAGCAACAACAATATAAATTTCACCCTTTAGCCAAAATCCTCATAATTAATTACATATTTTGGAGAAGGAAATGGCAACTCACTCCAGTACTCTTGCCTGGAAAATTCCGTGGATGGAGGAGCCTGGTAGGCTACAGTCCATGGGGTCGCAACGAGTCGGACACAACTGAGTGACTTCACTTTTTCTTTCACTTTGGGTGAATCAGATGTTTGAATTTTTCAACATTTTCATCAAATTTAAAGTCACATATCATCTTGCCAAGTAGTCTTGGCATTGCTTCATGCTCTGTAGATTTAGAAAAATTATAATAATACCTCTTGTCAATCTGAATTCCATTCTCTAAATTCTGTATTCTAAGCAAAGTTCTTTATGTGAAACCACAAACCATCAGACATTTCTTTTCAACTCAGATACTAGCAAATTGCTTCATGTCCTCCTTCAAAGTCTAGTTGCCGCCATTTTAATTGTTCCATTCCTCTATTTCCATTTCCCACTGCCTAGATTATTAACAGCACCAAAAGAATGTCAATACTCAAATCTTTCCCAGCATTTTCCAGATCTCATCTCTGTCTGCCATTCCCTGTAGAGACTGATGTCAGAATTCTCTTGGATAGTAGCTCATATTTACGTTCCCCAGTTGTGATCTGTACTTCTCAACAAGGCCTTCTGTGGCCACCTTGTCTAAAATACAGCCCACCACCATGCACGCATATCCTCACTTCCTATTCCCACTCCCTGCCTTTTCCTCTTAGCACTCATCATTACTCTTAAGGACTTTATTCATTTCCCTTGTGTTTCCCCACTAGAATATAAGCTTCCTGTCGGAGTGAATTTTTGTTCATTTCCATCTACTTTCTTTACTTCATTACCCCTACACCTGGTACATGGTGGAAACACAAGAAATACTGGTTGGATTAATGAATGACTCAATGGTATCTCTGTGGCGTATGATTTCCGTATTACTGATCCTTACTCCTTATGAAAAGGTATGGGCATGGAGGAATTAAGGATACCTTTCTCAGAGTAAGTTAACCATTCATGTAAGCACTGTTGATCTCCTTAGACAGTCTATGAGATTTATATATTGAGAAAAGGGACAGTGAAGTAGGAGGACAGGACAAAGATCTCTAGCGTAGGTCGGTAAAAAGAAAACTGACTTTGCTATAGTCCTCTCTTTACTATACATGGATTCCCTGGTGGCTCAGATGGTAAAGGATCTGCCTGCAATGCAGGAGACCCTTGTTCAATCCCTGAGTCAGGAAGATCTCCTGGAGGAGGAAATGGCAACTCACTCCAGTATTCTTGCTTGGAGAATCCCACGGACAGAGGTACCTGGTGGGCTCAGTCCATGGGGTCAGAAAGAGTTGGACATGACTGAGCAACTAACATTTATTATACATTAGCTCTGAGACCTCATCTTCTTTGATTTCCACTTCTTTAATTATCAAAGGACTAGGTTAGAATGAATAATAACCAAGATCCCTTCTAGTTCTAAAATCTGCACAGTTCTATGCTCTAGCTTCACCTCTTTTTATTAATTAATCTCCTCACTTGTAGATGCTTTTTAGAATATTTGGCATTTCAGAATCTAATTTGTTATACTGAAGCTGGTGACTGGTTGGCAAAGCTGGTCTGTGTGAATGGGCAAAAATTCATTCCTGTATATAGCTGTTTCATTTTGTTTTGTTTTAAGAAGCTTTCAGACGTAGCACAGTAATTCCAAACAAGAAAGGATGAAGCTAGACAGAACCTAATGGTTAAAGGTGGTTAGCAGTTTGTACTCTTTCACAGTTCTTGGAAGTATTTACGAGGTCAGAGTGGGAGGCATCACTTCCCATTGGCATCAGAAAGGAAGACTTCTTAGAAAAGGTGGCTGTGAGTTCGTCCTTCAAGGCAAAATGCATTCTGGAGGCAGTGGTTCCATAGAACTGATGAAAGGGATATAAAAACCCACAAAGGCCTGGCAGGGACCCAAAACTTATTCTGAGTGTTTTAATGTCCTTCATTTCCACATGTTGACACTGCCTTTCCCAAGTGGCCAGTATCTGACTTAATGGGAAAGTGCCAAAAAGAACGTGACTTTGTCCCAGAACACAGAAGTAATACCCAGCTTTAGAAGCTAACCTGCAGTTCGAGAGTGTGGCTAGGACAGTCTTTTTTTTTTTTTACTGGATGTTTGCTTTTCAGACACTGGGTTAGAAATCATCCAGCTGGAAAGAGGTCATGATAACACCCACCACCATGATCACTCTATGAAAAGACCAAAGCAGCAGATTAAAATCACAGTTCTCAAACTTGAACACGCAGCAGAGTCGTAAGAAAAATGTCAGACATTCAGATTCCTGGGCTGCACTCCAGAGAATCAAACTGAGTAGCAATGAGATGGAGCCCAGAATTGTGCACTAATGAACGCCTCCAGGGCTTTCTGCTAGTTTCCTAATCACACCTTGGGAAAACCACATTTTGGGAAACTCCCCAAATGGTGGGAGGACCCTGAGCTTTACAAACAGCTCCCAGAATTCAAATCTCTGCTGAGCCAGGTATTTGCTATGTGATCTTGGCCCTATGCTAAGTCTTCATTTTTCTGTTGGAAACAAACAAAAAAATAAATAAATAAAAGATGAAGCTTTACAGGATTATTTTGAGAATTAGAAATGATATCTTAAGGCACTTAACGACATGTACTAGGTACATCAAAGGGCTTCCCTGGGGGCTCAGACAGTAAAGAATCTGCCTGCAATGCAGGAGACCCAGGTTCAATCCCTGGGTCATGAAGATACCCTGGAGAAGGTATCTTACCCGCTCCGGTATTCTTGCCTGAGAAATCCCATGAACAGAGCAGCCTGTCAGGCTATAGTCCATGGGGTGGCAAAGAGTTAGACATGGATGAGCAACTAACACACACACAGGCACTTCAGAAACAGAGAGAAATCACTGCTATTATTACATGAGATTGATCAGGTGCCTGCCCTATCAAAGTACCTCCAGGTGTTGCCTTGGCAGTGATGCCCATCTGCACCATGCTGTGTGACACTGTGACCTGCTCGCACATATATATACTCCAAGCCCTTTATTCGTCTCTTCCTTTCA